CTAAAATAACCGTATATTGGGTAGACAGATTCTTTGAAAAACACATTATTAATTAGTATGCATGTAAATGGACATGAATAATACAATGAGATCATCAAGGATGAGAGGAGGAGCGCGATGTGTAAGGGAGTAGGTGGAAGAGAGAATGAAGGTGGTAGTTGGGATCAGAAAAAAGTTTGCGCCGTGTGAGCGGTCGAGGTTAAGTGGTTAACATATCTTAGCGCTAAATACCTGTATGTAATCAAATGGGAAATAGTTGAATAATACAATCCAATCAGGGGCGGATCCACAGGAGCTTTTGACGGAGGCTGCCGACCCCCGACAAAAAAAACGCTGCTTTGCATTGCTATTGCCTATGCCAGATGATTTTTTTTCCACTCGAAGGCCGTCCTCCATTTCCATTTAAAGATAAACGGAAATACATGAGATTGTTCAGAAAGAAAGAAAAGAGAGTTAAGGGCCACAATTCTAAACACCCAAGCGCCCGGCATCTCTGACTCAGAGATGGGCAAACTACCAGACACAAAGACCTGATACGAGAATTCCAGAAGGGAAGAGAGGTAGACAAAAAAGATGGGTAGAAAAGGATGGACACGAAGCTGTCTGTTATGGTCGTGTTTTTTCATTAGCTCGCATGCTATTATACTCACCTTTGCTACATGCATTGTGAATCAAGAATCCAATTGCTACCTTTTAGTCAATATAGCAGTTGTGTTTGCTTAATAAGACAAGATTTTTCTACAGCCTCTGTTCTCTGATTTGAGCCTGCTGAGAAATATTTATATGATGACATACACAACAGCTTACGGACACTGCATTGTGCGGCGTGAATAGGGCAGACAAAACACACCATCACCCAGGCAATGCCCGTGGACAGAGTCAAAAACGAAACAGCGCACAAAGACTTTACAGAGACATCAGATTCTCACTACCAACAAATGCCCAGCAGAATAGTTGCTGGAATAGCTGCCATGCTATGACGAGAGGAGGATCACTATCACACACCCAGGCAAGTTGTCGAGGTCATCAAGTACTCTGGGTTTCTCTATCAACCAGATTGCACATTAGCAATGCTACTAGAGAATATATACTTTGAAGAATGTCGAGTAACGCTGGTGAGGAAGGTGTGGCTGGAGACCGATTGCTTAGAGCATGTAAAGATCCGGCTTTGAAGGAGATCGATGACCTCAGGCTTGGCTTTCAGGAGTTCGCTTTTTCTTATATCAGTAGATCTTGTAATAAAGTGGCACATGTTTTACCTAAACAAGTTTCGAGCACACACACCGCACGGAGATGTAGCATATAACTCCGGCGTGTGTGCTTGATCTGTTGCTCCTTGAGGCTTCGGCCGGTTGATGGTAATACATGCCAAGCAAGTCACTTCCTGTCAGGATCGTCTGTGATCTGTTGCCTGAAAACTTGAGAGTAAAACTCTCACTGCTAGGACCGTTACTAGCTGGCAGCGTTGCTTGGTATAACTGGTAACGTGTCATGGCACTAAACATTAACTCTGGTCGAGATCTCATATTACAAAAGATAGTAGGGAACTGCATCACATTTGCTATGCCTACTCTGAGAATTCACGGTAAAGCTTGAAGCCCTACTTATCTCGCAACACACACAAACACAAGGTAAGTTGAAACGTATGGCCTCTCTAGTTCGAATAAATTTGCTTTCTCATCGGACACGCACGGCCTCCCACAATTACAGAGGTGTTTGAACACTTTCTAGATAAATGTCAATCAATTCCCATGTTGCGTTACGCAAGCACGTGCTGCCAACCAAGCTAGTTACTTCATTATCTGCCATGTACATGTAGAAATAATACATTTATTTACAAAGCATGTAAAGAGGTAAAAATGCTACATCTTGAAACGCTGAAAGAGCTCAACTCAAACAAATCATTAAGTACATCTGGGCAACTCTACACCGCCGCAGAAAATTACTGAACATACATTCCTAATCTTGGTCGCAAGACAGCTGTCTAGCTGGTCAAGTGCTTGTGCTTGTCTCTGCTTTTCTTATCTGAACATGCACATGCATGGCGAGCTCTCAGCTAGCACTGTGGTTATATACAACTTGCCACTCATCTGATTAACTAAACTAAACTTCCGGCACGACCTCTTTTTTTTTTGAAACTGAAAGGCAGCTTTATATTAATTTACCCGATCGTTACAAAGGATAGCCCGGATAGATTCCGGAGCCACATTACACAAAGTTGAACCGGCACAGTGATTAGCTAACCTTGCAATTACATGAGCTGCCTCATTACATCCTCTAGGAATATGGATGAAAGAGAAAGGAGTCCCCTTAACTAAGTTTTTAATATCCTGGACAACAGGACCTACAATGGATCTGTCAAGCATGGGAGATTTAATCTTGTTGACAACACTCAAGGAATCTGAAGCAATTATAGCATGCTGAATGTTCAAATTCTTCGCATAAACCACAGCAAGGCGGACTGCTATGCTTCTGCTAACTCAGGATCAGCAAGAACATGTCTCTTTGGCAAGAAGCATATATAAACTCCCCAAAATGATTGCGCACAACACCACCTATGCCGATACAAGGGCGATCACTGAAAATTGCTGCATCTACATTAACCATCATCCACCCAATCGGCGGTGGAGTCCATTTTGAAGAGAGGCGATTGGACTCACACCTATGATCTTTTGGTGCGGAACCACTGATTAAAAATGGTACTGCAAATTGCTCTTGGTTTCTCATTTAAATTGGTGCGGCCTGTGAGCTGACAATCTGTATTCACAACCACTACTTACTACCAATTACATGCTGTCATCACTGTGCAGCTCGAACTGCAGGTTCAGAGTTTAGACCATGATGGCTTGCACTGCAACAGGTGTTCATCCTGAGCAAATCTGGTGCATGCCAACTGCTATTTGACTTGCACTACTACTGCCTTTCCACGTACACCACTTGTGCTGCAATCTAACTGAATGCTCTTTTCTCAACAATCTTTTGTTACCCATCAAGCCTAAACTATACTTCACATCTCAAGAGCTGTATAACTGTCAGGCGTCACTTGTTTGCTGCTTGCCTCTGCGTATCTCCACCACCCAATCTACTACTTGATTCACAATGCATCAATCTAATCTTGAACTTGCCAACACATCGTGCCTTCACCACCGCAGAGGCTTCCCACTAATTAAAAGCCTTCTCCTCTAGATGCACATCAACATTGCACTGGCTAACACCTTGTCACATCACACGAACATGTGACCTGCTACTCCATGCTTCTCGATTTGAGGCACACACATACACCTGTATCTTCTCTAGCCTACTTCATATAGTGCTTTGTCGCCATGCAAATTGAGGCCCTCCTACTGCATACTGATCTCCATCTGCACGGCCATCTGCTACTCTGATCATCGACAACATACTTCTCCATCGAATTCCAGCAGCACAACTACTCCTGTTTCAAGACCAGCTGTTCTAATCTACCCCTGGACCTTAATCTTGTGACGACAACACCAGCAGCCTAATCTCGAGATGATCAAAACTAATGATCAGTGACTGCATGACAGCATGAGCATGGCATCTACTACTTCTCCTCTGAATCTACATACATCTGCATGCCTACAACTAACACCACAGTACTCCACCTTCTCCAACTAGAATATGTATCACTTCTTCTAACTACACTGACTCCTTGATTGCTTCACTGAATCTATCTTCACCAACAAGTCAAACACTGCTACTCTGTCGCTCCTTAGTGCTTGCAATCTCCTCACTCTCCATGGCATCACTCTCTGCAAAAACTACATCTACTGCTCTGCACGGGCTTCTTTAATCAAAGCCTCTGAATCTAGCGACTATCACAAACTTGTAAACTGTTGGATCAATCTATCTTGTGCTCTCACACGCCTACAACAACACAGCAGCAGCACTTCCCCTCCACTGGACCATGCATCACTAACTAAACCTCCCTCTACGACTGCACAGACACCATGGCAAGGCTCTCTCTTCAACAGAAAACTTCATAACTTGCATCTACTAAACTATACTGCTTCACCTCACTCCTGAGATGCTGTTCTTCTTCTCTTACACCCACACACCTACAACAGCACGGCAACCAGCACTCTACCTTCTCCAACTAGAACATATATGACTTCTTCAAACTACACTGCACCATCTACTCCTCTCCTAACCCTGCATCACACATCAACTGAATCTCCATCTTGCTTCTCCTGCACCGATCACCCCACACCGGCCTGCAGCAGCATTTATCAAAATAAAACAAAACCCCACTGGTGGGGAATCTCACCATTGCGAGCAGCGGGCCGGTGGCCACGGCAGCAGTGCAGGACGGCACGCCATGATCTCCGGGAAGGCAGAAGAACATCACACTCCCCCCATGGCTCTCTCTCTCTCTCTCTGTTGACAGGGGCGACTACAGGGCATCGCCTCCTCTTTCTCTGTGTGTATCTGCTGTGGATGGAATGGGATCGGCTGGTGGCAGTCTGACGGCCATGTGTGCAGAGATGGGATCACCTGGTGGTGGCAGCGGTCTCGCGTTGTGTGGGGAATGCATCTCGCGTCGTGGATCCGAGGATGAGGGATGACCCTGACCGAGCAAAGCCGCTGTGGCCGATATTTCTATCGGACCTTAATTGTTGAGGGTATATAAAATCTTTCTACGGACTAAAAATACTTTTATTCTATGATATGAAACTGTTGTGATACAGGTTAACCGAGAACGACCTGAGCTACAAAATTGATAACCCAGTTCACTTAACACAGTCTGGGCTGCCTGAACATTTGGTCTCTAGATACTGAACTAACACTAGGACCACCTTGATTCTTCCAAAAGAAAAAAAAGGACCACCTTCATCACCTCCAGGTCAGGAGCAGTAACAGCGCTACATCTGGAACCTATCTGTCCAGTTACCTCGCCATGGTGCCATTGATCTTAGTCACAGAGATTTCGTCCTGGTGCCACAACAAGTCCGTTGTTTCCTATGTTATGATGTCATCAATTGTCAACTATTGTTAGCAGGATTCGGGCTAGAACCACGTGGCGGGCTTGCCACCGCTGGCTTCTGCGGTTTACTCCTCAAGAAGCTCTTTGTGTATAGGGCTCCGAATACAATGGCCTGGTAACAAGAAACGTTTGTTGTTACTCATGGTTAAAACAGAAGCAGGTGATACCGTGAGGTGACTGGTGAGATGGAGGTAGATGATGACTTACTGCGCCAACCCACTGCATCCAGCTGAGAGGATGTACAAACCAGATGCAGGACAGCAATATGCTCACCAGCTACAATAATGCATGGACAACTATTGTTAGAAAAAGAGGTTGAATATTATGTCTGCGAGAATTATCACACTGAGGATGCCAATATCCACCTGTCTAGTTGTCATGATGGTAGCAAATGTGAGAGCCCCAAATGTTCGAATGGTGTAGGATATGAAGAACTGACTAACTGTTGCAACCTGGAATAGTACATAAAGTAAATCCCACAGCAAAAGGATAAGCTGCCTTAGGTATTTAAACCCAAAATAGTAGCTTCGCTTTGTAGGCACAGGAGAGGAAAACTAAAAAAACTGACATCGCCCAAGAACTATATTTCAGAGATATTTTTTCCTTTGCACTGAATTTCACAATTTCTATCTCTCTACATATTTATTTCATTTCTGTTCGTCATGCTAACTCTGCATCTAACATTTACATCTATGCTCAAGTGGATTTTGTGTTTACATTCTGAACTGGCACACTTCAGAACAAGGAGCAAGCAGCAGTGCATATTACAAGATAAGGAGGTAAGTCTTACACTGGACAGGATTAGAACATCAGAGAAGCAATCTGGGTGACGAAACATAAAATCCACAGCTGGAATCAGATGATTCTGGAGAATCAGCCCTGTAAAAAGGAAAAAGTATCAGAGATGTGCAAGCACAATCATTAAAACTGTTAATAATGTTGATATAGTGTAGCAAAAAAGTGGTAGAATTAGTGGAAGTCCAGAATTACTAATCAAATTTCAGCATATTGGGCCCAGTACAAAATTAAGTTAAACTTTGGTTGTAGCACATAGATCATAGTTCATACCACTTAAACTAAGAAGACAAGAGCACACCGTTGTGTAGAATATTTGGTTGTGTATTTCCATGTCATACCCTTTGAAGAGTTTATCTTGGAACGTGCTTGTGAACCCATCAAAACTGGACATCCAGAACATGGGGTCAAAAAAAAAAAAAAGATTAGGTAGGTTCTGTAGTGTCAAACATGACTGAAAGAAAGTAAAAACCCTGTGAGTTTATCAGCCACTAGTTCTCTGTATCATCTATACAGATTACCAATAGTAGTACAAGTCCTTATTGGGAAATTTTCAAGTATTTTACTAGATATACCAAATCATACTCATACGGTAGAAAACTTTTGAAATTAAGTCAGGTATCTCTATCATTTCTCTGTAGCCATTTTTCTAATGCTTCATACAATCATACCTATACATGTATTAGTGTCTAAGATACAGAGTATAGCTCTAGCATCACAACATCACCTAATTCATCTGGAATAATTTAGGGCAATATTATAGTGGAAAATAGAAACATGTTTCCAGAAATCGTGAAGATGCAGAAATCTGAGTTATTACAGGATTTCATGAGCTGCATCAGGACTTTAAATGTTATTTGTTGTTTTCTTTAGCATGGAAAGAACCAGCAGAGTTGTACCCAAGATAACCGAGCATGAGTGAAACACCCCAAATAGTGCTTTCTCTGCCTTTATTAAATGGACTCACATCCATCGACGCCTGCATCAATGAAGGACAAAAGGAAAATGAATAGCTTCAGAAAATACCCAACTGTTTTGGCAAAAGAATTGGTGTATATCAAGTATACAGATGTATATGTATGTGTTATCTTGAGACAAATCTTATTGTTCTAAGCTAGAATTCAACCTAATGCAACCTTAAGCCCACTGCCCCAATACCCTCCCTACGGCCCACTTGATTCAACAGCCACAGGCCAGCCCACCAGTATGCAGTGTGCCTTTCTCTCTCGTCTCTCGCAATACGCAACAGCAGCGGCTATGTTCCTCTTCCCCATCTCCACACATTCATTTGAGCCAAACACTAGGTCCTGCCGCAACACCCAAGATGCGAGGCTACGAGCAGCAATTCAGCAAAGCCATAGGCCCAGCCTCTGGTAGCAGCAGGGCGTGCAGTGCCAAGAGCCTTGGCGAGGACAAAACACAGGTGCCCCTGTGCCTTTGTGGGCTTGTGGCCTGTGTGACTTGCTGATCGCCCTATAACTCATTATCTTGTTGGATGACTTGGACTTCAGGCCAGCATCTAGGCTTCCTTCAATCCTTCTCGATTCGCTATGCTGTTGTGAAGAAAAATCTTGCTGATTAGTCTCTTGTTGTCGGCTGCAACTTGAAGCGCAGGAATGCGGTGGATTCCTCGGTGTCAAGGAGTAGCTGAGGAACCTACAGTCGGAGAAGTGTGTTTGTTTGGGTCTTCGAAACCCCCTGTGGTCGTATATATTAGACTAACAATGATGATCTAGGCAGTCCAAATTTCTTATCAGATCAGTTCGCTTGAAAGTAGCCTAATTGGATTTTTTTCTGTGGAAGTGGGGAGTATCCAACTCTAAGTCCTGGCTCTGTCACTGCCCAGCACTCTTGGTTAATAGCCCCGAAGTTCTGGCCATGGATGCATTGGTTAATAGCCCCGAAGTACTTGTTGGTTACCAGCAGTTTCCATAGGCTCATGCGGAAATACGCTAACCAACTAATCTATTTTTGGAAGATAAAATCCTATCTCTATCCTGCAACTAGTTCAGCCCTAACATTTGTGCTATGCCTGTTCTACTTGAAATGCAATGCAAGATTGATAGTAATTGAAACAGTTATATGCTCTCGATTCTTTTTCTATAGCAGTAGACAATTCATACCGGAATGCAAGCATGTGATGCTTAATATTGAAGAGGAGAGAGTTGGACATGTAGAATTACCGGATATAGAATGAACAATGCGCAACCCAGAGTCACGATGACAGCAAAGAAGTAATCTTTTCCGCCATACTTCTTTCTCATTATTATTGTGCCCCAGATCTACCAATCATAAAAAGAAGATAATAGCTATAAGATGGCACTAATCTTGATTATCAAGGAAATATATGTAAACATGTAACATGCACATTACTGAGACCACAGGATTCATCTTGCACATTCTCACAAGCATCTTATTGAACATTCTCGTTATGTATTTAGCATCTGATCCAAAGATATAAGTTCCAGTGACATAGAGTGTAATTGCTTCAATCAATCAATATTACTTAAATGAGAGCCATTAAATCGGGCGCAATAATCCTCACATGCATATTATCAAATATTACTTCATATATTTAACATCTGATACATGGTTATCAGTTCCAATGACTACTGGCACCAAACTGTGCTGTACAGACAGACAGTAATTGCTTCAATCAACCGTCAATACTCAACCAAGAACCATTAGAACTTGAAAGACACTGATGCTTCCCTAGCAGGCTAGAAAATAGTGATGTACGAAAAAGACGGTTTGATCACTGGTTACAGTATAGGAGAAGAGATTACCATGACAGGTATCATCTTGGCACATTTGGCAAGTGTTTGGACAGGGAAGCTGACATACTTGAGGGCCTGGAAAAAAGTTACTTTACATATTCAGTAAAGAAGCAGCACGAAACAACACATATATATGGCAAAAGAAATGGAGGACAGAAACTATCCAACCTCATACTGGCAGGTAGTGGTCAGTATATTTGATATGGAGACCACACCATATTTGTGTAGCGGAGCCACAGGGTCCAAGGATTTCTTACTTGCCTGCACAGGATTACAAATACAGAATTAACAGGCCTGCAGATCCAGACGAGTTGGAGAGGTAACCTGCGGGCGGGGGTCCATCATACCAGTAACACCATCGCAGACACCATGGATGTGGCGATGCGGTTACAGAAAACAAGGAAAAGCGAGTATCTGAAGAACTCCTTCTCCACTCCATACGGAACCCTCATGATCTTCTCCTACACAACATCGCCACAAAAACACATCTAGTAAGTTAGCTCAGTGTGATAAAGGAACCAGAATGTCTCAAGGTGCTTGGTAAAGAGCAATATATTGGCCAATTATAAGAGACAAAGATGAGTAATACAGGTATGGCTGTACCCTGTCATCATAATAATAACATGTTTGTGAATGCACCAGTCGCTAGTGGGAACTGAAGTGGAGAGCAGAGCGAGGAACAGGTCGGCATGCTTGTCGTTGGTTTGGACTGGAGGCAGTGCTTGGGGAGATGATAGGGAGCCAGGAAGGACGGTGCGCAAGGGAACAAGGGCCTTGTGCTATGCGGCGCCATGGGCATGAAACCCTGTGCGGCCAGTCGAATCGCAGCTGAAGATTGCATACTGTGCCACACGGTAGCGAAATTCGCGATGAAGCTGAGCACCGGAAGCCACAGCGCCAGTTGTATCGCGGCTGCCGCGGATTCGGCCGGAGGGGCATGGCCGGAGCACTGTAGGCGACAGATCAACACGCAGCGATCCCGCTCGCGGATGCTATTGTCTAATAAGTCTCGGTGCGGTGGGGAATTCGGGCCGGAATGGATATATGACTGCCAGAGGGAGCGGAGAAGAAATGGTGGCAGGGGACGGAGCGAAGACGGAGGAAGCACTACCAGCGACCCAACCCAACCCACCTGGAGGACGCCGTAGACGAGGAGGGTGCTCATGATGCCGAGGACGGCGAAGCTGCAGCGGGCCGCCCAGCGGCGGCGGTCGTCCTTGTCCCTGTCCCTGTCCGCCGCCACCGGCAGCCCCGGCGGCGCCGCGTCCGCCATGGCCTCTCCCCTCCCGTTCCCGCCGCGGCACCACTCTCCTCCTCCGCCGCCGCCGCCCTAACCAAACCCAAACGAAAGGAAACGCCTCGATGGCGGCGATGGCGCCGGGTCGGTGGTGGATGGGCCCCGCGTGGCAGCGAGCGAGAGAGAGAGGGGGGTGGGGAAGCACGCAGCAGTGCGGCGCGACCGGCTGGCTGGCTCGCCTCCACTTGCGGGGGTGTTCCGGCCGGCGTGGAAACTGGAAAGGCGACAGGGGCCGTACGGCCGGTCACTCTTGCGGTTGCGGGGTCAGTACGGCTACGGCCTGGCCCCCGTGCGTTGCACGAGAGCAGGCGTGAGATTATATTAGAGAAGGCTGCTAAATTATCTATTAGCAGCAGTAGTACACAGTATATACTGGTACTACCTCCGTCTTAAAAAGAATATAATTATAGGTAACATGCCACGTAGAGTGATTCACGTTTGACTAGGTTTCTAGGAATTGTATGACTCTAAATTGATTTATTATAAAAATATACTTTGTAATTAATATTAATAATATTGATATTTATTTGATGTTATAAATATGGATATTTTTAATTTATAATTAATCAAATTAAAGGTACTAAATCGTGAGAATAGCATTATTTCTGTGATGGAGGGAATAATAAATAAACGTTATGTTTGCTTGGCTTATAAGTCGTACTTTTTCAGCCAACAAATAATATTTTTCTCTCACAACAAATCAGGCAACGACACTTTCAACCATAGTTTATTAGCCAAACGAACATGGCAAAACTCTGTCTCATGTCGAGCATCTTGCCTCGGCGGATTCGTCCTCCCCTTTCTTCCCTTTCTTCGTAAGCTCCGTTTGCCGATGAGTACGACGACGCCTCTTTGGTTGCTCTCGGCACATTGTACGGTGGCTGGGCTTGCCGCTCAGGTGCATTGCTCCCTTGTGGCCGGCTGGTGCCGGTCGCGCCTCGCTGCTCGATCAGCCCTGTATGGCGGCATCGCCGGTTCCCCACTCTCGCCGCTGGCTCCCTTTTGAATTCGGATATGGATTCAAATACAAAACGCATGTCACAGATTCGAATTAATAGGATTAATGGTATTAAAATAATATTTGTGGATCAGCATTCCTTTTTAACACCTAACTATTTCTAGAGTTTTCCACACTACATGTGTGTGCAAAAAAGGCCGGTCTAAGAGAATATGACAGGTCGCAATCAGCTAGATTTGCAAAAGAAAGTTTTAATTACTTTGCTCCTTTCCTCATGAAAAAGCTACACTCTACTTCAGCTTTTTGCCATCAGTTTGTTGACTTTTGGCCTAGAGAGAGCCAAAGAAAGTTTGCTTATATCCATGCTTGCTCCATTTCCAAATATTTATATTTCTTGGGTTCAGTATGTTCCACAACCTTTTTTTTCTTTGCACGTTTTCTAATGTTTGATTTGTAAAGGGCATGATGACATATGTGCTATGCTTAAACTGATAGTGTTAGTCCAGATGGTTTTGGTCGTGGCCTTCACAACCATGCTCGGGCTAACTCAAATCATGGTTAAGGATACCAGTGGCTCAGTGGGTGCACTATATATATATTTTCTGTGGTTTATTTCCAGTTTAACTAAAGTAATCAATAACCACAGGTCACCATTTGGATTTGGATAAACTCATGCGGCTGTCTTTAGATTGTGGAATAATTTTTCAGGATGTGTCAAAGTTCTGCATTCACTTCACTTTGTAATACTCTTGCATATTTTCCAGGAGTATTGATACTCTTGGAAAGTGGAATAATTTTCCAAGAGTATTCATACGTTTGTTATGCCCCCTATTCATGATGTCTGACAGAAAGTCTCACATTTCTTGCGGATTTTACTTTTTTTTTAGAATCTCTTGCAGATTTTACTCAACGGTCCATTGGTTCCGAGCTACTCAACTCAATCCATTCTAAATTATAAGATGTTTTAGCTTTTCTAGATTCATTACTTTTGCTACGCATTTAGATATACACTATGTTTAGATATACAGTAAAAACAATGTATCTAGAAAAGCAAAAACGCCTTCTAATTTGGAACGGATTGACTTCTACTAATGTAGCCTGCAGCGGATCCGTTTTTACTTGAAATGGAACTACTAATGTATGGGGGAAACAACCATTCATACATAATCGTACGTGTCATATACGAGAAAGGACACTGGCAGGTTTATTTCTGCAAAAATACAAATCCAAGCTGTCCATTAATTGTTCCCTTATGATCATACTATGCAGCTTAGTGCCTAAAGGGTAGTTAATTAAACAAATATATGTGTGTGCGCTTAATAAACGGGCGCAGCGAAGCGCGTCTATCTTCCTCGTACTCCATCTCCAACCTATAAGACTGCATATGTCTGCTGCACAATGATAGAGTACTCCTGCCGCCATCAATAATTTTTTACCAAGATTTGACACAAGGATTTATTTGGATCAAAAGTTTAGTAAATATATATATACGATCCTTGGGTCCAATTTTGGTCACACTAAAATCCTCTTCACCCATAAATTTGCAAGCCACGGATATGCTTTGTCGATAAAGTCTAGTTAGCCCAAAAAAATCCACTACAAACCGAGTCTCAGCAAATCAGTTCCTCAGGTGTTGCACAATAATCCCATAAACACTATGGTCAGTGTGATGCGCCAGTCAACATCCACCTCGGTCCCTACCCTAGCAGGGTCAACACCTATCGGAAGGTCCATGCATGCCTTCCAGGTATAGATAGCCAAAAGGGCTAGGTTAAATGGACAGCACAAGGCACGACCCGTTAAGGTGCGGCCCAAGCATAACATGGCCTGATGTAAGTCATGCTCGTGATGGCATGGCCTAATAACTAGTGTCATGCTTCAGCAGAGACGCAAGTTTACTAAGTGATTCATTAAAAACTACTCCATAAAAATCCTACATATATAAAATAAAATTTGGAACGACTCGACCTCCCCCCACCCCATTGCGCTCCATTTTCGTCTCCCATCTCTCGTACCTCTTGATTCAATCCGCCCCCTATTCACTTCCCACTCTATCTACTCCCCTTTCCTCCTCGCTCTATCTACTGGCCCCATAACTTTCCTCCAAGCCGTTGATATGGCTGGGTAGGCTGGCGCTTGGGCCTGACTTTGGTTCAGCCCATCAGGCAACATTAGCCCATTGAAGGCCACCGCCCACCGTCCCCCCGAGCATCGCCTGTCGCCGCCGGACTGCCGGAGACTAGAGGCCTGACACTCGACTGCCCGAGCTATCAAGCGCGAGGAGCAACCAAGCCAGTGATAGAAGATGACTGGGCAAGCTGGCACCTGGGCCTGACTTTGGTTTAGCCCATCAGGCAACATCAGCCCATTGAAGGCCATCGCCCACCGTCCCTCGAGCATCGCCCATCACCGCCAAATTGCCGGAGCCTAGAGGCCTGACGTCCGACTGCTCGAGCCATCAAGCACAAGCAGGAGCAACCAAGTCGGCGGCCAACGCCTCAGCCCTCAGCGGGAGTGTAGCTAGCCATTGGCCATGTGAGTATGGTAGCGCATAGTTGCGGCTTGAGCGGAGCGAGCAGGAGCGGCATGCCAGCGACCAGCTGGAGCCTAGATTTGCATCCTGCGAGCAACGATTGACGGAGGAGAGGAGGTACGTGAGCTAGATTCGGGACGAGGCCGAGGTGCATGCTGATGAGGATATGACACCATCGGATACGACCATTGATTATAAGGTGAGCTCATTCCAATATTTGCATAGTGATTTTTGGTACAATTCACTTGGTTTCACATGAATATGTCATTATTTGCTTATAGGCACAAATGTGTCTCAAAGTGCAAGTCCATCAAAGTTGAACTTTCAATTCATCGGCGGCCCGACAATACTTTATTGAAAATGCCATAACTCCTTCATGTAGAGTGCGATTGAGGTTAATGATCACTTGATGGAAAGCTTGTTTCATAAGCTTTCAAATAGATCTAGTCCCACCTCAATATCACGTCGGCAAGGTCCTAAAATCATCACGACAATCTATTACTATTTCTATTGGGTGCTGCGACATCATCTTGGACTTGTCATGCAACCTTGGGACCGTGGTCCAAGTTGGAACATACCCCAAGAAGATGGAGAACACACCAAGGAAGCCCTTAGACGTCCTCCTCCTTGGGCACCTCCTTAGGAGTCCGTCAAGGACATCCAAGCCAAGCCAGAGGCCCAGTCTAACTCGAGTTCGAGTTAGCCTCGGCCTTCAGGACTAGTCTTCAATAAAATGGATGCGCAGACGCATTCGAACTCCGTTTTCGATGATCCATATATAGATGGAAAGATAATTTGATAAGGTAACCAATGGAAGTGGTCACACGTCAAGATGCATCGGAACTCCGTTTTTTACGATCCATATATGGATGAAAAGATAATTTGATAAGGTAACCAATGAAAGTGGTCCCACGTCCAAATTCTTTCAGAATCAACAGAAGTCGTCGAAACAAGTTGACGTTCAGAATTTGTCTGGGTGCTGCGTTGTCGTATTTTGGGTTGTTTGGGCCTTGTAACGTATCAAGACTCCTTAGGGACGTGAGTAGGGGTCCTTGGACGCTCCTTAGGTTATATAATCAGTAGCCGCCGCCTACGTTATGGTTTGGATTTTGCTTTAGATTAATCTGTCTTTAAACAATAGTCATTATCGGTTTGTGAAACCCCACATTGAGATCTTAATCATACATCTGCAAATTGTCACTTTACTTGAGTTGCATTCTTGCTTGTGTTCTTTGATTTGTAGCAGGGATTAGCCTTCTTGGCAAGGTCAACCGGATTGTGACACGGTTGATAACTAGAGGTGCAGGGTTCGGGTTTTTGTGATCTGAAGCTGGCTCGGTGTGTTGCTCTCCGACCAAATCGATAGTTATCTTGAACCTGATGGAAGATCGGGAACCCCGTCCCCATTACATGCAGAGGTGTTGGCAAGAAGAGAGAAAAAAATGGTATTGTTCATGAGCATCTTAGATCAAATTGTCAATTTAG